TTTATTGTCTCTCCTTGAAGGAAGGAGCGTATCCACCTTTTTCACCTGAAGCTCGGTGCTCTCTCAACTTCCGGGGCTGTGTTCGTTGTCACTTCTATGCATGGGAGAAAGGCAGGTGTGTGTGTGTCGGGGGTGGGTCTGGGGGCTTCCCCTCAAGGTAGATTTGCATGTACTTGACTTTTAAAGGAAGAGGGAACTGAGAGAAGCCCAGACATCTGAGTAGGAAGGAGAAGAGGTAGAAGCTGCCAAGCCCAGGCTGACAGGTGTGTACACCATGTACACTACCCCTGGGTGCCCGGACCCAACAGGTAAGGCCTGGCCGGGCTCGGGCTGGGGGCTGGCCATGGTCAGGACCAGGTTGCAGCATCCTCACCTTGGGGCAGCTGGGGACAGGGCCCAGGGTCTGAGGGACAGAGGGAGGAATGCGCTGGGCTCTGACTGGCCTTGCCTTTCCTCTGGAAGGGTACGCGGAGGAAGATGACGGTGACGATTATGAGAACGCGACCCCATCCTACAAGGACCTTCCTCCCAAGCCAGGTAAGGGGACGTCCTGGAGGCCGGCTGTGTGCCCTGGGGGAACAGAGGGAGTAGAGTCGCCAGGGGGCAATGGCTGGGCATCGTAGACACAGTCAGCCTCCTGTGCATGCAGCCCGCGGCAGGCGCCCCAGTGGCAGGTGACCATGGGAACCTGGACCGCGCCTGTGAGGATCTGTCAGTCTGATGGGGGAGGCGGTTTTGGGCACAGTGTTGGGCGAGCAGGAGAGGGAGCAGGAGATTGGGGAAATTCCGAGGAGAATCGAGAGCTCTGCCTGCAAGGTGGGGGGTGGTGGGGGTAAGAAGAGGTGACTTTGGAGTGGGGCTTGAGGGGCAAGAAGGCATTTGTTAGGAAGACAAGCCCAGGAGAGAACTGCTGGGTGCAAAGTCCCTGAGGCATGAAAGCTGGTGTTTGAAACTGCGAGTGGACGCTTGGCGCCCGATCTCCCTGCATCTACACCTAAGGCCCGGGTTCTGTTTAGATTCGGGCGGCCCTCGTTGAACAAGAGTCTGATAAGTGGATATAAAAGTGGAGGTTTGCGAGATTTTCCTGAGTTAACTCCCATCGGGGACCCTGAGGCCACCCACGAGAGATCCTCAGGGCCCAGGCTGACAGGTGTGTACACCATGTACACTGCCCCTGGGTGCGGCCTGGCCGGGCTCGGGCTGGGGGCTGGCGAT